CCGGTTACAGTCGTGTCACTCCTTTCAACCGAGTCGATTTCTTAGCCCTCGACGACAGATGTGATACGATATTTTCAACAACCCCGAATCCTCGCTTCACCACAATTGAACACTTTTCCCGAACGAGGTAGAGGTGTTCAGGGGGACATAAATACGTAATTCACAACTGTTAACACATTACTACTTTTTAACTGTGAATTTTTTTCTTTTATCTGTGTCCTTTCTCAAGCACTAATAGCATGAAATCGAAATTTCTTTTTATACGCGTCTAGTTGCATTCGGCCGTCGAGTACCGTCCGAATACCGTGTCATTTTGATGCTGTTCGACTTTTTGACGTTAAATCATTTTTCCTAACGAAAATTATTCAGATGCGTTCTGAAGTTGGTGATGTCTTCTGTTCAATATATGCTTTTGGTGAGTGGCAACCCGATTAAGTTCCGTACGTCATTAATTATCTAAAAACTATTTAGGATGTCAATTTTTTCGAGATAAGGCTTTGATAACTGCGTCTCATTTTTTAAGTAATTACGTTTATCAACGTAAAGAAACAGTCACATAACTTGAGTAAAAAACATTCAGATGCGTTCTGAAGGTGATGTCTTCTGTTCGATATATACGTTTGGTGAGTTGCTACCCGATGAAGTTCCGCACGTCATTAATTATTTAAAAACTATTTAGGATGACAATTTTTTCGAGTTAAGGCTTTGATAACTGCCAGTTTAATTTTTTTAAGCTATTACGATTATCAACGGAAAGAAACAATCCTAACTTGGCTAACAAAGGAGATCATTCTAGCCCAATCATCATTTTGTTCAACATTGCTTTTTAAATTTAAAAGGTCAAAACAATGTCCTCCATGCAGAATTACTTGATCAAACATGAATCTTGTATATTTTAATGTTTGGTAACATACAAAACCATGAATATTGGGGTTGTATAGAATTCCTGAAGTGACCTCCAGTGGCTCAAAAACGTGTTGGCAATTTTGCCTTTTTAATTATTCCATAGCACAGATTTACTATTAAATTTACAACTATTTGATTTTAAAGATATTCTAATAGGTAAGGGTATTATTTGAATATTGAAAAATTAAAGTTGCAAAATAAAAGGTGGAAGAGGTATAGGTCATCTAGATGATTTCTAACTGATAGCTAAGATAAAGCTGTGTACATGATTTTACATTTGTGCATGCATATGTTAATTCCATTGGTATAAAATTCGTTTAGGATTATCTAGAAAGCAATCCACATAATACTTTAAAATGTTCTAAGGGCGATGACACACGGGGCGGTTTTGACCGAAGCGTTTACCGCGAGAAAAATCGAGGCGGTGAGTCGTTCATTGTTGTTGCATTTAACCTGACAGACGTAGCGGTCGTAACCGCCTGTCGGTTTTCAAACCGAGTCGGTCGGTGGCGGAGACGACCCAACGCGTCGGTTTTGAAAACGCCAGGCGGTGAGTGGTACCCAAGTATTGCATTAGCCCTGACACACGTGGCGTTTATTTGAGCTGTTTTTCTTGTTTGTTCCCCACTTTCTTGAGGGGTTGTTCGTTTGTCAGTCTTCTAATTTACTTTTATGATGCAAAAAATAGACGTGGAGAAAAAAATTTGTAATGCGGCATTTTATTTTACTATGTAACTCGTCAAAACTGCCCATTTACAACCTGGTAATGTTAAAACATTCTTCAGGGTGTTTCCTCATCTCTGAAAACAAATTCTTAAAATGCCCTCTTTCGCTTCTCTTCTCGACAATTGGATGAACCCACATTCTCCTGTGTTTTTTCTCCATTCTCTTCTTCCAACGATAGTACAACAGACACCAGAAGTATCTCTTCATCCATGGGAACTCCATGGGGAATGGGCCAATGCCAGTTCAATAAGATTAATAAATAATAGAATTTTAGCTAATTCTCAACTTCCTGACGCCTAAGCTTTACATATTGATACTTAACCACCACTAAAAAGGGGGGGGGAAATCTAAGTATTTACAGATTGTACGGTGCTGTACAGTAACACAACCGTTTTTAAAACGAACTCACCTTCCTCCAGGGCCTCTTTTAACTTTACAACTACTTGAAAGTACATCACCCTATAATTAAATGATTTCTACAGCTTTACGGGTACAAAGTATGCGTATGACTGTCGGTGATACATGGTAGTAACTAGTTTAATAAAGATTTTGTTTTGAATATTATCTGGAGGAGGAAGGGGACCTCGTTCAAATCCCAGCTCTGTGCCTTTTAAATTATAGTATGAAAAATGAAAAGTAGTTTAAACCTTCCTTGACTCTGAACAGGAATTACTTTACTTTTATTGATCAGAGAGGATTGATTTTTTTTTGTTGGGGGGGAGCGAAACGAGAATCGAACCTACAACTGCAGGATCTAAGCCGAGAGTCTGACACGCTTATTCGGCTACCCGAGATCCCATCTAAATATAAATCAACTTAAATATTTATTTTTAAAGACTATTTTCAAAACTTCATAGAGAAAAGAAAACCGAACGAGACGTAGTGTGTAGATAACTGTGAGATTTCACTTTGTAGCCAGTTTCATGGTATGTTCATCAAAGAAAAAAAAAGTACTGCATGGGGCGAATGGTCTGTAAGGCTGTAACTAATACACGAAGTTACAGAACAATACATTTATTAAACAGGACTTGTTATACAAACTGCAAAATAACACCTTGCGACGTTCAATGCTTATATGCACTGCTGTAGGATACATTTAATAACTGAGAGAAAACAAAACCGCTTCGGCCAAAACGCACATCATACCGCTGCATGTGTCACAACCTAGCAAAACCGAAGCGGTAAACGCTTCGGTCAAAACCGCTCCGTGTGTCACAACGTAGCAAAACCGAAGCGGTAAACGCTTCGGTCAAAACCGCTCCGTGTGTCAGCGCCCTAACAATCCAACAAATGGTTTCAGAGATATAGCTGTGTACATGATTTTATGTTTGTGCGCGTGGATATACATATGTTAATCCCATTAGTATAAAATTTGTATAGGATCATCTAGAAAGCAATTTGCATAATCCCTGCCAATTTCGTCAAAATCTGAGTTATGGTTTTGGATATACAGCTGTGTAGGGGATTTCATGTTTGCGCATGTCCAGGCTTGATCTGATGGGGATGAAATTCATAGGGGACCGTCCGGAACCAGCCTGCACAATCTATAAAAATTTCATAAAAATTGGTCTTATGATTTTGAGTTTTGCCGGTTTCAAGGAATTGACCACAGACAGACAGTCATGGCATCATATTTGTTCAAAAGGTCTGAAACGCAAAGTGCGAGTGGAAATTTTGATTTTGGAGGGCAAAAATTTTTTCAACTTCCCGCATGAACCCCTGGCTTCCCTACCTTTGATAGTTTGTAAGCAAAAGTATAGACAATCTAGGAGATTCCTAATATTGGATTATTTGTAAACAATATAAGTTCATATATCTGTCAAACACTGGTATTTTATTTATTCAGTTGGTTGATCTCTCTTGCCTTGTAAATAACAAAATTTTACATTGAAAACTTATTAAAAATTCCTTGTAAAGAATTGTCATTATTTACAAAAATATAACATTGTTACTTCATGCTATGAAGGTAAAATTTATTGTACGTTTGGTGAAATGTTAAAATTAAGTTTACTATCATGAGAACTTTGTGAAAAATTTTAAAAACACTTGGTCAGTTGAATATTTTAAATAAAGTAGGCAACCTAGGATATTATTCACAATCAGGGAAAAACGATACATCTTAAAAAATATCAGAAAAGGCCCATTTATCTGTCTGTGGAACATACGGTGTTAGATGTGGCAAATTGTGGGTCAAGTCCTTCTGTGTTCAAACAGTAAGAAATATATTCAATGAAAAAGATTTTTTTAGAAAAGCTACTGAAAAGGAACCGTTTATTTAAAAAAACCAAGAGAGTACAAGAAGAACAAGAACTTTTGAAATTTGCTTTTTCATTCTACACATTTCTTACTGTTTGAATACAGATTAATTGCCATCTAACGCCAAGTCTGGCCCACTGCTAAATGTCTTTTAAGCCCTTTTTTATCACATACCATGCATAATATCCTTGGGCACTTCATTGCAAATTTGCAACTGACTCAGTATTTTCAATTTTTTTCATGATACTTCTCATGATAAATAAACTTAATTTTAACCTTCAATAAATTAGACTTTCATACTATAAAGTAATGATGTAATTTTTTGTAAATAATGATAATTGTTTATGAGGATTTTTTAAATATAGGTATATAAGTAAAATTTAGTTAGCCACATGGTATGAGAGGTCAACCAACAGAATAAATATAAATAACCCCAGTGTTTGCCAGGTGTATTAACAACTTGTATTGCTATCGGTTAGGAATCACCTAGATTGCCTTACTTTTTGACCTTCGATTTTGCAACTTTCATTTTTTATTTTTTGATATTCGATTAAAACCCTTATTGATTTACTACTGTTTAGGTAATTATAATATCTTTAAAATCAAATTATTTTAAATTTAATAATCAACGTCAGTGCTGTGAAATAATTAAAAAAGCAAAATTGCCTACACTTTTTTGAGCCACTAAATGTAAACAATTAAAATATATCTAAAACTACTACTCTGAAACAATATTAAAATATATTAATTTTATGGAATTTTGAATCTGAGTTTGTTAAGTATGTACACAGGTTGTATACAAAGGTAAAATTTCTAAATTTAATTCTGTCATTTGTGCCTTCAAATATGTTCATGGGGAAACTTAAATATTTCCTTTTATCTGCTAAATTTTGCACTGTAAAATTAAATTAAACCAAATTATGGGTCAATATAACATTTTATTTAGTTAATTATTACCCTGAAGGTTCTGAAAATAGGAATTAATTTATCCAAGAATTTTTTTTCATTGTATGTTATAACACAGACATTTCTAAAACATTTGTTCATATTTTCAACATTTTAATTATATATTAATGAAATTTCATATTCCCTGAATTCTCGTTCCCTCTGATGGCACCCTATGTTGGTGGTGTGGTGTAGCTCAGTTGTGGTGATGCCCTTGTGGGACCTTGGTTGCTAGTCGGTTTCCAGCTGGATTGAGGGGTGCCCCTCTGAACTCCCAGGTCAAAGAATTACCACTAAGGTGGTATCATTGGCAACCTTCTTCTTGATAAAGCCTTGCCCACAATGTTAACATTAAAAGTACTAGTTGCGAGAGATTTGTAGAGGTTCAATTCTGAAGCCAGGGCTGCCACAAGTGGTTTGGGGGGGCTTCGCTCTGATGGAGCCAGAATGTCTGCTGATACTATACATGTGTCGCATATGCGTACCCTGGGATCAAAATTGGATAAGTTTAAAAAAAAATCAAATTTTATAGTGGTTTTTTTTTCCAGCTCACATTTCATCAGATTCATTGTAGTTGCGCTGGTAAATAGGGTTTATTTAATTTATTTAATTATATCTTGACTTTTTGGTACATATCATGTTATGCACCGACACATGTCTATTTTTTAGTTTTATTTTACATTTACAAGTATAGAATTAACCACAATCTGCAAGAGGTTCTGGGTTCAAATCCCCATGATTTTTTAATGCATTATATTATGAAAAATGTTAGAATTGATGCTAGGTGTTGGTCTGCGAGTTGATAAACGCATGCTGAACTGGCATCGGGTCCATTTTCCCTCATGGTTAAACTACTCAAATGTGTCTCGGCATTGAACCATCTTAAATGAAGAAAGATTCCTTCCTCAGCTAGACCCATTAATTGTCCCAATGCCGATTCTGCTGTGAATTTCCAGGCATGATTATTACCAAATATTACGTAATGTGAAAGTTTGAGAGTAATTTGATCGACTGCCTAATACCCAATAAACTGAATTTACTAGAAAAACAATATTGTGTAATAACTACTAATAATAACTTATATTAGGCATAAAAGAACGGGAAACTTGGTAACTGTTTAAAATTGAGAAATTGTATGAGGATTGTGTGCGCTACAAAGGCTTCCATTAAAATGCAATAAATTAATCCTTAACAGGACGTTAATTTAATAAATTAATTTTTTTATAATTTACATAAGCAAACAACATTATACAACAAACAAATATGTATAAACACTATAGAGCTACACAATAATTATATAATATTTACAGATGGGAAAAAACCTCGTTTGTTTTAAAATACAGAGGACCCAAAACTCACTCTCATGCCCAAGGGCTGGCTATCTTTATGCTGGGTGTCATGCCTACTTGCTCCTTGTAAGAGGTAAAGGCTTGGCACGTTTTGACCAAGTGTAACACACTGAGCAACCTTTCCCTACAATTTTTTTTTCATAATTATTGTGTTCTTTATTGCCACTGCGAGTTTTATTAATCAATGCATTTTTAATCAATTGTGTAATTTTTTAAAAATATTTTTAAGCTGATTATAAAAATTACACATTGTTAAAATAATGTATCTCAGTTGAGCAGTTATTAATTAAAATACAGGAAACAATGGCACTTTGATCTCTGTGCTATTTTTGCTAAAACATTTCTTTATTTCATTGATCTGGGTTTGAGAGGAGATTTGTCAGTGTCCAATTTCTTGTTATTGACTTTTTATCTTATGCTATTTCAGTTTAAATACTTCTTTTTTTTTTAAATTTAATTGTTATACCACAAGAAGTTGAGAGTTGGTAGCTAAATGGAGTTGCTTTCCCAACTTCTGAATCATCATATTTGTACATATCCATTTTTAAAGAAAATGGGTTAACTGTTGTATGGCATTTTTCATAAATATACTCGATATTGTTTGGCAAAGTTTGTTGTACCTTGTTAGTAGGGGACCATTTTATCGTAAAACTTGTGCTGGTTTAAAAAATGTTCAGGAAAGGGTGAGATGTAAAGCCTACTTTAATTAAGTTAGTAAAAATTGACTGTACTGGACTGGTCTTGGTCGCTTTTCCAATTTTTTAATTAACATAATTCAAAAGTATTCAGGTGTTCAGTATTCTGTCTGTTGAGCTGGTGCATATTTCGTTAACTAATCACTTTATTTGTAAGAATAATTGATTCGTAATAGAACATTTAGAAGAGCAGCATGAAATTCAAGGCTTTAATTAGGAAGATTACATTTACGTCTAAATCACTTTAGCTGGTAATTACAGTTCTTATCTCCTGGTCTTCTATGATAAAACAACTATAAAACGATTGTAAAGTATAACTTGTTATTATTATTGACAACAATTGAGTATTTCAAGTAGTACTGCAACATTTCTTTTTTAGGTGGGGTGATGAACCCACAGTTTATTCTTGGTTCAAATAGTGGTGACGCTTTTATTCCAAAATCTTGCAAGTAAGCATAGATAGTATGGCCAGTTCTCAGTTGGAAAATTGATTAGCAGAAATCCATGGTCGCCATAGAGGAATGTACCTCTCTGATCCTGTCAAATCCAGATAAATATTTACCCGAATCTGCTATCACCAGAGATAAACATCAACAGAGATTTTCAAAGGTTCTCATCACTTTGTTTAGAGGCTGCATTAATCCCTTTTCATGCTTCCTCTGACTTAATTCGTCAACTTGGGTGTTTCCCTTGATATCAGCCCCAAGTTTACCAGCTTGACTAAAAATTGTAGTGTGTTTAATTTGTTTACAGACAGTCTTGTGGTGTTGATTTTTCATTTTATGTTAATTGTTTGAGCGAACTACTATTAGTCAGACATTTGTGCTACCTAGTGAAAAAGAATAATTCAGGCCAGTTTGGTCGTAATAACACAATAGGAAGAGTAAAATGATCTCAAAGAAGACTACATTTTATTGCTTGTTTGGTGCATTTTGTACCAAAATCCGTTTTTTGTTATTATTTTCTATAAAAATTTTATTTGCTTTTACAGAAATATAGATTTAAAAAAATATTGTACAAAATTATTGTAATAATTATATTTAGCACATGTAAGTAATTTTAAGTATATAAATGTAAAAAAATTTAATAATGTTTTTACATTTAATTAAACTGGTAAATCAATTAATAAATGATTTTAGCAAAAGATTTTCCTTCCAAGCAGAAGGTGTTTATTCCATTATGCATTAGCATTTATTCGATCATACCATGATGCAATCTGTTCTTTACAGCCAATGATGGATTTCCCAGAAGAAGATTTAGGGGGAAAACCTGACACAAGGCCAAATGAGTCAACAAATCTAACTGTACCCAAAACTGAGGATAAGGTCATAATACCGGAGTCATACTCAGTAAGTTAAAAAAAAAAAAAAATGGATAATATATTATTATTTCTGTTATGTTTCAATGTGTTTTTGTTTACAGCCTGGTTTCAGCTTTAGGAAGCTATGGGCTTTCACAGGTCCAGGATTTTTAATGAGCATAGCATATTTGGACCCAGGAAATATAGAGTCAGATTTAAAATCCGGAACGACAGCAAAATATAGGGTGAGATGCCATCGTTGCTATAACTTAACCATGTTTATCACTCCACCTTGACATATTTCTTCATTGAAATTACTTTTAACTGCCATTCTAATATTTTCTATTATTAGTACAGTTTTATTAATTAAAATATTTATGCGTAATAAATGTTTGATGTTCTCTTAGGGTTCAAAATTTTATGTCAAATATAAAAAAAAAATTAAAATAAAACTAATCTATGTGATCAATTTATTAATTGAAATATCCCAATAATATTTTATAAAATCCATTTTTTTAGTATTTGAATCAATATTCAAAGAGTGTAATGACTAAATTAATTTTTATCATTGTAGTTACTATGGGTGTTAATGTGGTCCACTGTTCTTGGATTAGTTATGCAAAGATTATCCGCTCGGCTGGGTGTCGTCACAGGACTTCATTTGGCTGAATTGTGTTATCGCCAGTATAAAACTATACCAAGAATTTTCTTATGGATAATGATGGAGATCGCTATCATAGGTTCCGACATGCAAGAAGTGATAGGAACTGCGATAGCCATTTATCTCCTCTCAAACAAAACGTAACACCTTCACCTACATTTTAAATGTAAAATGTTTTTTTTCCTAATAATACATTTATTTTCATTTTTAGAATACCGCTCTATGGAGGTGTGCTTATTACAGTGATAGATACATTTACATTTTTATTGTTAGACAAATATGGTTTAAGAAAGTTAGAATTTTTCTTTGGTTTTTTGATCACTGTAATGGCGATAACTTTCGGATACGAGTTTTTTATCGTCAAGCCTGACACAGTTGAAGTTCTGAAAGGCCTGGCTATACCTTGGTGTGAAAATTGCAATTCTGATATGATGTTGCAAGCGATTGGAATAATTGGTGCTGTGATAATGCCTCACAATCTCTACCTTCATTCAGGCCTTGTTAAAGTGAGTTTGCAAAATATTAAATTTAGTAGAGTATTTATTTGGTTATCATAATTATATCCAAAGTTGTGTAATGTAATAATTTCTTAACAGTTGGCTAATAAGAAAGACATAGGGATATAAAAAAATAAATAAATAAAAACTTCTTAACATGCTTGATTTCATGATGTTTGGTAGGTTTTTTTTTTCATTTGTGTGTTATTTTACAAACATCAGCTTTTGTTGTTTAACCTTTTCAGGACTAGATGGGATATCGTTTTGGGCTTGTCCGCTCACTCCCCAGGCCCTATCTCATGTCCTCGTGGTTTTTTGCCTTTTATGATCCCTAACTTGACAGTCTGCACAGCATCATTAGGCTGAGATTTTATATCCAATATGTAGCACACACCTCGGTAGCAAATTCCATTCCTGTCCTCATCGTTGAACCATTCTTTTCTCCCCCTTCTGTTTACAGCCTGGCCCCTTCTGCAGAATTTTGAGAAATTGCAACACATTCCTTTTACTGGAAAACCAATTGGCAGTAATATATAATCTCATTGGGAAGTCTCGCTTTTGCCTATCCCATCCCCTACCCTTCCCTACTATCTGTCCTACTTTCTTTCTGATTTTTCGCCTCTTGTCTGCCAAGTGCCCTTGGTACATTGTTTACATTTGTACTTTTCAGAATATATTTTTGTTTTGTTGCCCTTATTTATGTAAATTCAGTTGTTTTTCCTTTTTTTTTCTTTTCAACTGTGTACTCGTGTGTATGCATGTACTTACGTACATACACATTCAGAGTTGAATTAAATAAATTAGTTACCAGTTTTTATCTATTTATTAATTTGGTTATTTTTTAAAATGCATAATTAAGGCTTTTTGAATAAAATGGATTTTAAATAAATTTTAATACGACTTTTTTCTCTTTACATTTACTTATTTTCATTGTAAAATATAGCATCATAGAAATGTACTGTCAGATTTTGAACTGAATTGTTGCCACATAAAAGTAGTAAGAGCGATTTAAAGCGAACACTTTGAAATTCGATGCATGATACAAAATAAATCAGGTTTGGGTCGGGGAGGGGGTTCGCATAGCGGCTATAGGAGGAGAAAATTTTACGGAGGTTTTACAATCTGAAAATCAGTCCTGAAAAGGTTAAAAAACACATTACGAATGTAGAATGGCCAAATTACTCTTTGTCACAAATTCTAACTAATTGCCATGAATAGAAAAAAAAGCATAAATAATTCATGTCTTATTTGTTTTTCAGTCCCGACAAGTTGACAGAACAAAAAGAGAAAAAGTGAAGGATGCAAATTATTATTTTTTTATTGAAGCATGTATCGCCTTGTTTGTTTCGTTTATAATTAACGTTTTTGTCGTTGCTGTCTTTGCTCATGGTCTGTATGGTAAACGAAATTCAGATGTGGTAAGTTCTTTGTTTCATTGGTGTTTTGTTGAATTCTTTTTTATTATTTTTTTATTTGTATTTTTGTTTCCAGTTTCAAGTCTGCAATGCAACCAACATAGACCCCGATGTATTCCAGGTGGGTACATCTTCTCATTTGGTGTTTTTGATATCTAAACTATTGAGGTTAACGGATTTCAGTTTTTTACTAGAGAATAAATTTTAAAGTAAGTTCACATTTAGTGGTAGGCATTCTCAATTAAGACAGCTGTGTTATCACTAGTATTTTCACTAATTTTGTCTTTAATGATAGTTGTAATAGGTTCTGTTTATCACAGTTATTAAAATTAAGTTATTAAGTTATTATTAAATTAAAATTAAGATATCGTAAATGTTAAAAAACAGTTATTCAAAACATAATAAAGGAAATATTTGAACACTGACTAATTTACTTTCTACATGTATATGCATTGGTAATCAAAGTTTCCAATATAATTTATCTGCAGGATGAGTTTACCTTCTGTTTTTGGGAAAAGTTCTGAGATATGTAAACTTTTATTTATTTTTTGTCTAGTTTCTCATGAACCAAAAAGTTTTGATCTAACTCTCCAGGTTAATGGGATATAGATGGTTAACTATTTCAATTAGCAAGGTACTTACTTATCAATGCACATTTTTCTGTTTTTTAATGCTGAATTCAACAGTGCCAACAGTTTTTAATTTGGAGCAACTGTTCTCAAGTTATTCACAATATCTTTTTCCAAACACTGTTTTTTGGATAAATGAAAGAAAATCTCCAACCACTGATTCGACCAATCACTGATTTGTTGATTTATCGTTTTAATTGATAGTAAATTACTTGCTCATGGTACAAAAAAATATAGGAACAATTTCTCCAAATAACATTAACATCAATTACAAGCAATGCTGAAACGCGTTTGAGTATTTCTACAAACTCATAAGTGAAGACGACCCAATTAATGATCCAGTGCCGGTTCAGCATATTACCAGGTTTCTCTGTATGTAGCTTATTCATGGTGATTATCCTGATGTAAATTTCAGTTTCAAATAATACAAACTGAAAGAAATTAATATTTGACAAACAAAAACGTTAATAAAAATTGAAGTTTAGTTTTTATGATCTTAGATATGTGCAAATCATAACAATGCCTTGACCATTACAATAAAATTGGAGATGATTCTGCTATTGGTGGACTGAAATTTGCACCAAGTTGAATTATGCTTTAATGGCCTACACCTAGAGCGTCCTGTTAATCGATGTTATTTGAGGAAATTGTTGCAAAATTTTTTGCATTTTTACCTTTCTATATCAAGAGCAAGTAGTTTACTAACAATTAAAATGATAAATAAACAATTTTGTGATTGAGAGAAGAAGTTGGAGATTTTGTTTAACTAAAAACAGTGAACGAAAAAGTTTTTTGTGAATAACTTGAGATGGTTGTTCCAAATTAATAATCATTTGCACCGTTGAATTTAGCGTTAAAAAAACAATTAGAAAAAAAAACATTGAGAACCTTGCTATTAGCAATAGTAAAGTTTCTATCCGTATCCTGTTATCCTGGAGAGTTAGGTCAAAACTTTTTGGTTCAAGAGAAGCTTAACAAAATTTACATACAGGATTTTTAATAAAAACGCCTCAATAAAAATATTAAAAAAATAGATGGGAATAGAATTTAAACTCCCCTACATGTATATACATAAATAATACATAATTATACAAATTTTATTTTAATTTTGTTTAGAATAATACAAATCTAGCTTATGAAAATGTTCATATATACTCTGGAGGAATTTTCCTCGGTTGCCAGTTCGGCATAGCCGCCATGTACATTTGGGCTATCGGAATACTTGCAGCTGGTCAGAGTAGTACAATGACTGGTTGTTATGCTGGCCAATTTGCAATGGAAGTAAGTCCATAATTTATTAATCAATGATACAGCATTAATGTTAACATTCTTTAAATATTCCAGGGGTTTTTGAATCTACAGTGGGTCAGATGGAAGAGAGTGCTGTTCACCAGGATGGTTGCAATCGTACCTACATTTTACATTGCTTTCTTCAGTCACATATCTGATTTGAGCAACTTAAACGATAATCTAAATGCTATTATGACACTTCAACTTCCTTTTGCCACCCTCCCAACAATTGCATTTACCAGCAATCCTCGCATAATGGGAGATTTTGTAAATGGAATGTGAGTATTACACGGAAGAAAATGTTAAAATTAAACATACTCCATATGGTAATACTTACTTTATTTTTAGTGCGAATAAAATAATAGCCTGTGTTCTGAGTATTGTTATAATATCAATTAATTTAGGAATGGTAGGAGTAAATCTTACCGGAACGTGGTGGATGATAACAGCTCTGTCAATTTATTTCATATTATACATTACCATGTGCTTATATTTAATACTTCACACAGCTGCCAGCATGAGTAGTCCTGACAGTTTCATCAATTCATTAACGGTATGTATTCTTCTCTTATCCACACCCCTTAATTACTTTAAACACGCTTAGAAGTTAATAATATATTTTTATAACAAATGTAATTTTGCAGTAGTATTATCTATTATTTATTGGCCTATAAATATCAAGGGTCATCACTGGCCCTCTGCGCGTTAAACAGAAAATTTGTTATTATTTTTCCTCCGCGCATTTTTATCACTGACACTCATATTTTGTCTACTGTTAACTTAGCTTGCTAAACTTTTGTAGTTACCTCAAGATTGTGAAATTATTATTAATAGAACAAGAAAACACATAATGATTTTCCCACTTCCCACCTCCCCCAGAAATACCGCAGTAACGGGAGCCCTCCCTCCTCTGTCTGAAACACCTGGACAGTATGTAGCATGTTTTGACGACGCCAATGTCCCTTCAACTCCCAAAACAATACAAGTCTCGTCACTTTCACTCCATCAGTGTGGGGGATAATCCCATCAATCACACTAATAATTTACATTCACCACAAATAAAAACAACACATAAACGCGTATTCTATACTGTAAAACTTCCGTTATGTGCAGTAGTGATGGGGAGACCACGGAAAATTGAAAACCCTGGATAATATAATTTATTTTTTAATGTGTTCCTTAACAGGTGAATTAAGACACATACATATATTATTTTTATTAATATTTATCTAACAGAAAAAATTTTGATAATTTTTTTCAAAAAATCATAAAAAATTTCCAAAAGGTCAAATTGAAAAATGGTCTTCATAGTAACATTGATAAAGGAAAAGGGCCTATCATACCAATTCCAAAAATACCTCCAACACTACAAACTTCAAAAGCAAGGGTTTTCTAAAGAGGTGCGCCATCCTAAGAGACGTTCATATATGGGGAAGGGTTTAGTGCATCATTTCAGAACGATGGCTGTAATGAATATGTTCAGTATAAACAGTCTGGTGGGAGTTTCAGAAAAAAAGGCAATGTTCCTCAAATCAGAAGTGATGCAAAATATATATATACCTGTTTATGTAGTACAGATAATTGGATTCCTGGAGAATCGAACCCTGGCTAATGGAGGTTTGGTTTTACTATACATTTACAAACTCTTACAGCCCTGATGTATTGAAACAGCGATCCATGCCTTGCTGCTGTACCATAATGCCTATCATAATCAGTAGGCTTCTAGTTTTCTGCTTGTAAAGTATGCCTTACGCTTAACCTTTTGGTACATAACGGCTTGTCTATTTCCTGCCAGCACAAGTGCCCCATGTGCAAGCCAAGTAAGACTTATGTGTATCCCGGCTTTTGTGGACCAGGGACCAGTCTTGCTTTATTTTATAGCACTTTGCTTTATAGCTAATAATAATCAGACAACTATTTTCAGTCAGATTAATCAATATCAATTTCATGTGTCTTCATGTCGCACTCGCAAGCAAAAATTTCTCCCACTTTTTCTTCAAATTTTCTAATTTTTAATTATGGACCATTTTTTCTTCCATTCCTCTCTTCCTGTGAGTAGCATTTTAATTAATTTTATGACTGATTGGTTTTGTTAAAAAAAAATATAATTAATTATAATGATTATTTCGAGATTGTGAGATGCGATCTGGTGTGACGTAGATTTAGAAAAACATTTTCTTTATCATGTCAACGTTTCGATCTTTATTATCATTTTCAGGGCCTGGGCTTTATAAACATAGTTGATTAATTATAATAATGTGCTTAAATTATCAATTTTTTAATAAAATGACCTTTTTCCAGTTTGTTCAGCATTATGTACTGCGTGAATCACCTCATGAATTTGACTTAGACAGAACTTATGAATCTTCTCTATCTAGGTGAGCATTTTTATTAAATACTTATTCTCTATACCCTTAATTGAGTATTTCGTTACCTTTATTTTAAATCTAAAATTTATATATAAAACGTTTTAAGTGCTGAGGAAGAATAAATCCTGGAATCTTTAGACAATAACAAAAGCTAAGATGAAGGTATGAAGTCTTTTGCTCAGGCTAGAATGTTATTCATACGAAAAAAACCACTGCATTGCATATATTCGAAAGTAGGTCTAGTCTGTTTTTGTTTTTTTAACAAATGCCGGGATGATTGCTTATGAAAATATAATCTTGTTGCTTGATGTATTGTTGCACATAAGGTTTTGAATTTTGAAATTGAATATTATGTTTAAAAGTAAATAACGTTTCTTTGGTATTTGTTGTCCCAATTAGAAAATAATAAAGATTGCATAAATGGCACATTATTGTATATATGTAAATAACACTGGGTAAGATCATATCAAAGATGCCTTAAAATTGTGGTCGCTACCTTGTCAACCTAGTGTATTCTTAGTTGGCACACAAGTAAACATGACAGTTCAGTCTTGGTATGCTGTTCTGCTGATTGATTACTGCTGAATTGTAATAGGTAAAACAAAGACATGCTATTTTTAGTTTATGGTAATGAATTGACACCAACAAGCAGAAAATGAAATTTTTTCAAGAGATCTGCAGGGTTTGGACATTTCTGATCATTTTGGTCTGTCAGAAGCATTTAAGCATTTTGTCATCTTTAGTTCTGAGTCAAAGATTGACAAAACAACACACCTAGCCCTCAAGATGGCATCTGGCAAACTAAACCAACATATATAAGCAGACAAAAATGATTGCACTATAGAGAATACAGTTCTATATGAGTAACTTCTATTTGTACAATAGAAACATTCAGTTCTTTATTTGATAAAGAGTTTTCCCAAGCTGAAGTTTACAAATGTGTATTTGATCAATGGACATTTCTTCTTAATCACACTGTAAAATAAATAATTTTTCACGTTACCATCATGGTAAACATCTACAAGAATAACATGTGCAAAAGTGTCTATATCAACACATTGGTTTTTGCTTGGAAGTGATAATGATGTAGTGAGCTTACCTCAACCTCAAGGTATCATAAGGCATTTTCGGTATGTCCTTACCTTATTCGTTTCTTCATCAAAACAACTTCAGATATGATCTCATTATAAATAAATTCATAAACTATTCCTGCTGTCTTTGGTGGTAAGGGATACTAAACTTTTTTTTTATCTGTGTAAAGTCATTAGTTCAAGGGTAATAACATTTATAAATAAACCAATGTTGTTTCCTGAAATCATTGATATTTTTAAATGTAATTAAAATTTAGGTATATATTTCAAAATTACATACTTTATTTATTTAATATCAGTAAAAATTAGATAATGGGAATGGAATTTTTTTCCCACATTTGCATTTTCCCTTAATAAAATTGTTTGTTCATTGCCCGCAAATTCAATTTTTTTCCTAATTTCAAAATTACATACTTTATTTATTTAATATCAGTAAAAATTAGATAATGGGAATGGAATTTTTTTCCCACATTTGCATTTTCCCTTAATAAAATTGTTTGTTCATTGCCCGCAAATTCAATTTTTTTCCTACAGACTCCTACATACATTTTTTTTTCTTGAAATGTCCAAAATAGGAAATCGTTGTAAACTGAGTGTATTATTTAATGTCTAAATGTTCCACTTTTCGCAATTAGAGAAAATTGAAGACTGAATTATCTTTAAAATCAGTTACTAAACCGCAAGGACATCATAAAAGTGTAAATGTTCATGTATATTTGAATTCATAGCTATTTAGTTGCTTCTAGTGTAAATTGCATGTGTTATTGTTTTAGTATAATTTGTTAATGAACTTATAAAACAGAAATTCAACCCTCTTGTATACCTTTAGATTTAGTAAGTTAACAACATTGGAAATAGTTGACTTTGCTTCTTTTGCACATTCAGACGGAAAGACCAGACACCATTTTTTATTGCCTTATGATTCTTTATTAGCCAGAGGAAAAGTGTAAGATGCTGCATACGCATATTTTTTGGGAGAAAGGGTGCATGAAAAAAGGCTATAGGGCGACAGTGGGGATTGAACCCACGACACCGCAGGTTCTACAAGCCGACTATCACATTAACCACTTGGCCGTGGTTACTAAATTTTAAAAACATCAGTGTGCCTATACTTTTATACTCGCAGCCAAATATTCCACATACTTTAATTATTTTATTGCTAACTAATATTTTATTTATATTAGTTATAAATTATTTTATTTTTATTTCTTTTATTTATTATATACTACCACAGAATACCTGGCTTCTTTCGACCTTAATTTATTTAAAGTTTATAACTTCTATGGTATGTATTTTATTCTATGTATTTTTTTGTGTGTGGGTCAAGGTGTTATTCTTAGTAGAACTTCATTGATTATGATATTGCCACTGCGCAAGGTTAGGTCAAGGTGTTATTAAAATTTGTGAAGATTCCCGAGGCATTGCAAGTTGCACATTCGGTTGTGCTCATTGATGACATGATCTTAGATTCACAACTGCTGGTTTTCCTTGTGAGCCAGTGAGGCATTTATTTGTAAATTGGTCTTTCTTCAGTCTTTAATCTTTAGGGATTGCATTAGCTGTCATTGCATGCAAGTCCCTTCCTCCAGTGCACCAGGGCAGAGGAGCAACAAAGAAGCCGAGAAATTGTACAAGAAAAATTCGATGAGGACATTTGTTGGTTCTGAGCATTTTGACACATACTGAAAACATGGGATACATCAGATATGTCCTCCTTCAATTGTAATGTAGCCCAGGACAGAGGCATTAGAAAAAAAGTTCATCACAAGATCATTGCAAAAACTAACGGGCAAAAGTATGTGTTAGGACTAGAATAATAGTTGGCCGCTGCTAGCTGACATTGCAGACTCCATTGAAATATGTATAAACTCAGAGTGGCAGAAACATAATTGTTGCCCATACAAGAAAAGACAGCGGAACATTTCCTATGTTGGTGTGAAGGTGTTATGTACTGAGTACAGGTCGTAAAGTGGCCAACTCCTACTCTAATCTAAGTCAGGTCCTAGTTATTGGCTAATAAGCATAAGACTACTTTTTTGATGTTTTAAATGGTGCAAAACTGTCTCCAAAACATTGATAATGCAATTCACTAACTGCTGGTTGTTCAAAACATTCAAATCGTTAATCAAACTGAAACTTCCCTACCCTGACACAGGAATCAATCAGGATGCACTGAACTTCTGCTTTTTTTTAACAGAAAAGTTTAAATTTATAGTAGTGTAGATTACATGTTTGCTTACTGATGTGTCTCAATTTATTATACAAATTCCAGATGGCCATAAAAAGTAGGACAAAATCAACTATAGTTGTTGCTGGATGTTAGTCTGCAAGTTGGTTAACTCATGCTAAACTGCCACTGGGTTACTTATTGGGTCTGTCTTCACTCAAGAGGGACCCAGTAAGTAACTGGTCTAACATAAAATCAGATATGCTGTTAGCGTTTTGTCCATAGCCATCTTTTTAAAATTTGACTTTTTTTATTGGTTATGAATGTTGTGATGGTTTGAAAACTCCTTTGTATTGGATATAGTATAGAAATGTGTTGTCCATTTGTGATGATTGTTTTGCTTCCAGCGCATTTTTTTTTTTTACTGTCCCATTTTTTTGACTTTAATCTGTTTGAAAATGTATAGGATTAGAAAGATATGGAAAAGTCATACTGCCCGGCAAGAAAATTAATTAATTTTGCACGGGATCATATTTTGGCCAATTAATATTGACAAGTTATCAAAGCAAGGGGAAGAAACAGACAATATTCAATTTACTGTATTCTTCAAAAATAACATAAAAATATATTACTAACAAAATTAATTTTTAAAAATTATACATTTATCAAGGGGGTTGAATTTTTTGCCTGTGAATGTATTTCTCTATTTGATTAACATAATTGTGTAATACTCGAGTTTTTGCCACACATATTTTATTTATTATACTGCATGCGATTATGTTTATTATATTTTAATAAGATTTTAACCATTTCAGATTTCCATCTAAATATGTTTTAAAGGAAGATGAGCCAGGTGTCAGTTGATACAGCAAGACTTTTTGATTCTTTCAAGGGTAATTATGATAAGGAAATATGTTTAATTATAATATGTACTTACAGATAAAAAAATCTATTTTTATATTTCGTTGAAATTTTAAATTATAAATATCTGTGATGATTGTTCTATTAGATTATTTATATCTCCCTGCTGTAGTGCCTTCCTAAATCATAAAATTTAAGGTAGAATAGTTTTTACAATCTTCTAGTCAAACTTAACACCAAAGCTGAAAATATAATTGTATATACTCCATGGATGTTAAGGGGAAGCATAATTTAAATGTATGTTGTATATAAGAATAATTTTTGCTAAACTTTGCTCAAAAGACAGGGAGGGCACCAATGTTAAAAGATAACAAAATAAAGATACATTAATATATAAGAATGTTTTTTTTCCTCACTCAAGAGGCTGACAGTTCACAACTATCTTGGGTTTCTTCTCGCTAGATTGAATTGATATGTAAGTGGTGTTAATTCTTATTTTAGTGAACTCACTCGAAGGAAAGGATTTACATGAAATATAACAATGAAGAAGTAAAATATATTTTATTTAAATAAAAAATATTAAAAAGAATTGGAACAAGGCGAGAAAGATAAAACTTCCGAAACTCTAATTAAAACTAACATTAAAAGTGTATCACACTTCTGCATAATCTGTTTTATAGAAGTTAAACAAAACTATATATTTTACAGAAAGCTCTCGTTTGTGTAATGTGGTAAGCATTTACTTAATTGTAAAACTTAAGTAAACTTGGAAACAATTATTCCAGAGCTTTTACACAATAATATTTATTAAATAAATTGCAGTATAATTTAAAATATAGATATATTTTAACACAAAACAATATAAAATATATTCTTTGTTTGTTTATCATCAGTTTTTACGACATTGTGGTAATTTAAAATGAAGAGTTACTACACCATCAAATCTAAAATCTCTTCATTTTAATATTATTACAAAATATTCAACCTAAATTTAACTGCTCAGTATCACTCAAGAGATTGTGCTTTGTTTGTGCTCTGATAATAGTAATTAATTTAAACCAACACTGTCAACAATTATGCCAATAAGCCGAAAACATACATAACAACATTAAGATTGGGACGAATAATGAAAAATATACCCTATGAACTGATCTTGATAAGAGTATATAAATTTGTTTTTTACAACTGGTCAAATAATGTTATCTTTCATAGGAAAGGTTCATTATATTGAATAAAAATGAAAAAACCTTGTTCTATTTGAGAAAAAATAACAAATTTGTAGCACAAGTTTATAGTTGCTATCTTACATGAAATCTCATAAATTTAATCTGACGGTGATGTTTTCAAAAGAGCGCCGTCTTCAGGGCGTGGGTGGCGTTTATAATTTGACTCTGTTACGATATAAACAACTGTGATGCCAAAAAATACAAACATGAGACCGATGAGATTTATGAGAACACCTTCTCCAGGAAGTGCAGCATAATTACTGAAATTAAGCATTGAATTAGTACTTAAAATGTGGTAGGTTAAGGGATTATTAATACTTACTTCAAAGAAAATATTGCCTTTTCGTTCAAACCAGAGACGGCTGCTGCAAGGGCTAAGACAAAAGCACAAAGCCCGATAAAAACATGCCAAGGCATAACAGCACTTCTTATTGTCATAGAAGCGCCAGGCCACAGGAAAACTAACAATCCGCCAATCCACTAAAGAAAAGAAAATAGTTAAATATACTTAAAGGAGAGAAAAAAAAAGGCCACTCGTATTTTGTTGTTTATTTCAAATCATGTATTTTTTTTGTTATATTAATTACAAAATACTTATTTTAATATAAACCAAATTAAACAAGAGAAAAAATTCATGTGTTGAAAAAAAATAATGGAATTATGATGGTTTGAAAGAAAATTCACCAAAACATCAGAAAATCATTTTGACCTGGTTTTACTCTCAATAACGCGCATTACCTCTTCTGGCCTTAAGTCTCCTAGGCATCGAATAAATAAGCAACCAGATTATTGGAGGCGGCAAATGATGTCTAATCTGTCCCTTTATCGCATCCCAAAGTGTTCTATGGAATTCATGTCAGCGAAATGTGCTGATCAATTCATTTTGGCAATCACTACGTCTCCAAGTAACGGGTGAAAACTCAAGCTACAAGACCATTATCGTGCATTAACACGAAGTTGTCCCCAATAAATGGAGCGATTGGAGCCACAGGCTTCCAGAAGAACTTCTTTAATGTACTTTAGTACAGTCAAAGCCATTAAATTATGGTTCCACAGTGCAGTAAGACCAATAAAACAATCATCTCTAGAAGTTGTACATTGCGTTTGACCAATGTTTTCTCTTTGATAAATATTTCCAAGACCCTAAACCACTCTAGACTATGTGGATGGATGCTACATCCAATGTCTAAAGTATCTTCAAAATGTTGGGGGGGGAAAAATGAATAATTATTTTTTACTCAAATTTATTGTTTCATCAGAGAATTTTTTTCCCCCTCCCGGGGCTTCCAACAATAAAGTCATTTCAGCCCCCTCGCACTGCACTGTTATGGCCGATGGGGTACTCAATATTCCGCCATCGGCCCTATAGTCTAAAAGATCACCCACTTACAACAAACAAATAAATAAATTACTTACAAATAAATACACGACACAATAAAACACAACACAGATACACTTATTTACACAGATATTCACGTTTTATACACTATTTACAAGTGAGGAAACACCCCTGTTTCTCTTAAAAAGCGGAATAGGGGATCCAACATCTGACTTGCTCGCCCGAGTACCGTTTTTATGTCAGGGTTCATGCCTACTCGCTCCCTGTAGGGGGCCAAGGCACGGCACTCCTCGACAAGATGAGACACACTGAGCAGCCTTTCTCTACAAGCGAGACACCTGCGCGGGTTTTGACCCAGAAGCAGATGTCCGTGTGTCAGACGGGTATGGCCAATCCTCAACCGAGTTAACACGATCCTTTCATTTCATTTCAGATTCTTATGGGGCCATCGTTCAGTCGTTCCCTTAACTTGCAGGAGCTTCTCTGCCCACTGACGCTGCCAACGCTTTCTCACAGCGTTCTTTACTGCTCGCACAGCGTCACCGGGCCGGATCGCGGTAGCGAATAAAAGCGAATAGAAAATAATTGAAAAATCGATTAACTCGCTCAACAAGCTGGCTCTGGAAAGGATGAAATTGAACGGATTTTCTTTATTTTTTAATCTGAAGAGGGAAATGGGATTAGTAACACTCTATAAAGGTAAACAACAACAAGTTATGGAAAATAAATAAATACAAATGGCCTGTTTTTTGTGTGAATAAAATTAAAGTGAAAATAAATTAAAGTGTGCAAAATAAATACCTGTAGAATAAATGTAATAATAGCAACCAATCCAATCCAACTGTGAAGACTGTATAAATTGGGAATAGGGTCCAACTTTTGAGTTTGCGGATTGACGTGAAAGTTGTGCGAATCAAAGACGGCGATTTGTGCAAACAGAACACAAAGTATGACAACCGAGTGGATAATGGCGTGGAAAATCTTCAATTTTTGTTTTCGCATTGTCCTCAACGCACGGTATATCATGATAGCTGAGATAGGACAAAAATCTGGTTAAACTACTTTTCAAATGAAGGCAAAAGTGAAAAAGCTTACAGTTTGCATAAAGGTAAATTAAACCGACAGTCATCAAGAGGGGATGCCAGTTAAATTCGAGATCCGGGTTGGACCTCCATCCAAAGCCGTTTCTGTAAGAGGATGTCCAGGTGGCAACAAGCACGACGCAGGTCACTCCAAGGACCTGGCTGATTGCAAATGCAACATTGAAGCCTTTGAGATTTTCTTCCATTTGGCGGTTGGGGCGAGCTGTAGCAAATTGTAAAAATTTATTTTCACAGCCTACATTTATTTATCACATTCAGAAATAAATATAGCATTATGAATGTTATTAATTAATTATACCTAAAAAAGGATGATTGAAAATTGAAACAATAATAAGAGAAAAGACAAGAATTAAAAAGATGTTTATTTAAAACAAAAAACTGTGTTGTGAGCTTAAATTTTTGTTGGTAGTTGTGAGCAGCTTTAAAGACCAAGTTTTCAATAATAGACAAGACTTGACTAGTTGCCAGACAATTAACAGACTGTAAATCTGACTAAACTTGACTTCAGACTTGAAAAGCTGTTTGGCCAAGATTTCATTATGTGAAATATTACTATAATATTATATTCAAGGTATAAGAAGAAAAAAATCTATTGATCTTTGACTTGATTGTCTCTGATCATTAAAGTCTGGCATATTACTACTGGTTTTGTCTATAAGACACTTTGTCCAATCATTAAATAATGATGAATACCAAAACAAGTTTAATACGTAAAACCACTAAGAATTTCAGACCACAGTTACTCATAAAAGAACATTAAGCAGCAAACAAAAATATTTTCCGTAAGTCTGAATAAGTAAAATGATATAAATCGCTGAAAACTCGGCTGAACCCGGAAGCTGTTTCCTAGTTTCTTTAAATTCATTTGTCATTTGACCTGAAGATCCAACTCACAACATAAGTCTGAATATACAAAGTAAATTGACAGACCAAACTAGTGTAAATAGGCATACCCCTGGAAGAAAGCTCACAAAGTTCTGTAAGATAATGAAGTAGGTAGATAATAAAGTAAAGAGACAAAACTATCGAGAAAATGCAGATCAGGTTGGTTCTTGAAGAGATCCAAACAAAATTATAAAAGAACTTAATCAAAAAATAAAATCCTGTAAGATAAGAGAATTTAAGTTTAAAACAGACAAATTAAAAAAACAAACAAAAAAAACCAATCTTAATGTATAAATTGTTGAAACATCTAACAAACACAAACAAAACCACCAAGAATAGGCAGACCAAGTTATTTGAAACTATCAATAAGCCAAAGCCCTATAATATTAAGCAAATTAAGAATAAAGACACACAAAAAAAAATCTTCAGTCTTAATGTATGAAGTGTTGAAACAACTAACATCCACAATAAATAAAGCCATCAAGAATAGGCCGACCAAGTTATTGGAGACATCAATAAGCTAAAGCCCCATAAGATTAAGCAAATTAAGAATAATAATTTTTAAAAAACCTTCGGCCTTAATGCATAAAATGTGAAAAAATCAATAAGCTAAAGTCCTATAAGCTCCGGGTTCGAAACCAGCTGCCCTGCATTTTACAAAAAAAAAAAAAATCGGGTTCATGTAACCTTGTAGTTGAAATACCCTTGTTTAAAAAAAGTCATTATTTCTTAATGTATAAAGTGTCTATCAAACCCATCAAATAAAGCTATTACATTCACAAGAAACAAAATCATGAATAATAGAAATACATGTGATGAAGTCAGTTCATTTTAGGCTACATAAGATTAAGAAAATCAAGGATTTGCAGCATATACAAATATATTACTAATAAAAAGTTATTTCATTCACAAAACTCTAAAATAAATGAATCAATTACTTTAACCAATTCATTGATAGCAATCAAGAAATTAAATCTTGGGATCAACGTAATTTTCTTTTCAAAAATACCACTGATTTTTCAAGCTCTTTAAATGCCAATTGAATAAATAAAAGCTATTTTAAATTGCGATGGTATTTAAAATTAATATTTCTGGTAAATAATGAGTAGCTGGGGCGTATAAATTGTATATTTTTATTGAAATGGGTAGACTGAAAATCCTTAGAAACGCCGAGATCGGCATCGGTAAAAAAAAAAAATGACAAAGAAAAACAAAAATCGTCCTATTCCATCGAAATAGCACGTTCACAGTAAACTCATTAAAACTGGCGTCGTATTTGCATAAGAGTACACAGAAAAAATTCAACTTCCGGCCTAGTAATTCATCTAGAAAAAAATCTGAAACAAACGAGATCCAAGCAAATTCATAAGGCTGCATTATTATTATTATTATTATTATTTTTTTTTTATGAAGGCAATAGATTCTTTCTCTATTCTTCTCCAAAAGTTTCATTGTTCATCGTTACGGTTCGATACGTAGTTATCTCAAAAGATCAACCTTAGCTTTCAAGGATTCTTCCGATTTATTCATACGAGATACAAAGAATGCGTTACTTTATATTAAATAGTTTATTACGATTTAACATTTTTTATTGGCAAAATACATATGTTAGCCATTTATTTAATTCGGTTTCTAAGGAACTTGTAGACTAATAGCCGGAACATTTATAACATACTGAAAAAAAAGTTGCAAATAGGGTGTTGTACTCAAAAAATATTTTCGCACTATCTCTGCGACACCATGTATACATACGAATAAATTGAAAGGCTATTTAAAAACTATGATGGACATTTTTGATACGATATTTTAAATTCTAATTAAATTGCACACGACAGAAGATATTTCTTCCTGATTGCAGTAGACTTACACTGCTGCATATCAGTTGTTAAAAAACTCACATGAGATCAACGATCACGGCTTAGGTGGGAAATAAATATAACTGTATAAGGAGGGGTTATGCATACCGTTTGAAAGCTTATGAACTTTTCGTGAAGTTTGGCTATCTCTAGGATTAAACATTTGTGTTTTTCTCAAGTAAGGTCTAACAAAAATGGTAACCCGTCAGGGACTGACTATACGTTTGCAGTTGTTTGCAAATGGGGTGAACTATCACCCAAATTTTTTTCGCACTATCTCTAGGACACCCTGTATATCCCCTTATTGTTAGAAATAAGACAATAATACGTTTTAATATGTCAAGGTAACAGGTCAATACAATCTTTCTTCTTCGTGAACTTTTTTTTAAGTAAAAACTACAACAAAGGATGTAATTGTTCTGAGAAAAAATATCTTCTGCCGTGTGCAATTTAATTAGAATTTGAAAGATCGCGTGGACCATGTTTCACAGTTTTTCAATTGCACTTTAATTTACGTATACGTACATACGCAAGAAATAAAACAATCACACATTAACACTAAAATAAAACATGAATTATTACGGCAAAAAAATATCTTTTGCCGTGTGCGGTTTATCTGGAATTAGAAGATTGTATCGAAAAAATTCAAGTACCTAACGTTTCTCAATTGCATTTAAATTTATGTACGTACGTAGAAATAGGACTAAACTTTACTGTGTCAAGGTAACGTTAGACAATTTTAACAATATATTCTTCTTCCGCCATTAAAAAATAAATAATAAAAAATAGTTGAACTTTTTTTTAGTGGAAAAACTACTAGTATTGAATAATTATTTTGACAAAAAATATCGTCTGTCGTGTTCAGTGTAAAAGATCGCATCAAAAATGTCCTGCAGAATTTCACAATTGCATTTAAATTTAAGAATACGTATATACGCTAGAAATAAGACAGTTTTTCGTTTCAAAGTGTCGATGAACAGCCGACAATCTTATCCGTCTTCTTCTTCGACCATTTAAAAAAATCAAGATATATACATAATTAGAATATAAGTTTCAAAGAGTCAATCAGTATAAAAGATCGCATCAAAAATGTCCTGCAGTTTCACAATTGCCGTTTAAATTTACGCATACGTATATGTACACATACGTATAAGACAAAACATGAGACAGTCTTAACAATACATTTTATTCTACCATGCTACCATACAAAATTTAAAAAAATAGTTGAACTTTTTTAGTGGAAAAACTATTATAAAGTATAGAATGATTATTTCGACAAAAAATATCGTCTTTTGTGATCAGTATATTAACATCTCATCAAAATTGTCCTGCAGTTTCACAAATGCATTTAAATTTATGCATACGTATATATGCAGCCGACAATCTTATCCGTCTTCTTCTTCGACCATTTAAAAAAATCAAGTTATATACATATTCGATTATACGTTTCAAAGAGTCAAAGTATTACATTATGTATTTTAAACTTTTATTACAATAAATTATATAATTATTTTGACAAGAGTATATTCTGTTTGTGTAATGTTTTATTAAAATGACAAAGAAATATAAGAATATCGTATGATTCCAAAACAGATTGATCACAACTGTCACTGTCAGTGTAAAGATGTGTGATAGAAATAATTGGTGTAAATGGACAAAAAGTTTAAGAGGATGGCGGAATCAAGTGTTGAATATGTTGGGAAAGGTCAATTTTTTTTAAACAGTATATTGTTTGCGATATGAAAACGTTGTCAAAAGGAGACAACCGATGCAGTAAAGATCCGTGCAATATGTCAAAGTTGTCCAAGGCGGATGGAACGACTGACATCAGCTATTTCAACGTGTATCGCATCTTAGGGGGAGAATTTAAAATGTCTTATCAGTTTTCTCTTGATACCTGGTTTCAGTTGGGCGAGGGCGTTCGCTGGAAATTCGAGCGAATGAGGACCGAGACAGCTGTTGCTTCGGCCGGAGCTGGATATCGATCAAAAGGCGTGCTGACTGCTGAGTTCCGCTTCCCCTTTCCCTGCCTTGAACGCTCTCCCACTACGTTCCCGATTCCCGTTTCTCCCGTTCGCTTCTCTGCCGGCCTTCTGTTCGATATTAAAACATTCCTCGAATATTATTTGGAATTTTCTTTCTCAAATAGATGGAAAACCGCGAATGAGAGTAAGAATTGAAGAAATGATGAGTTTCTTTGTCGGATGTAGTATGCAAGACAAAATATTCCCTCCCAATTAAACTCATCTAAAAAAAGTCTTTTCTAGTTCTCCAGACAAGATGCTAATTAAATGCATGCTGGCAAGCTTCACAGATATATATATATATTTAATTTTAGAATTTTTTTTCTGACAATTTAAATAAGCATTTTAATTCTAAAATTAAATATATATTATATATAATTTTAGATTTAAAATGCTTATTAAAATTGCCAGAAAAAAATAAATGTTTATGTACTAAT